GCACTTAACAACAATAACAATGTTCACAGAAGCAGCCGCTCCACGGGAGAAAGCTGTGGCCGTCTGCTTCTGTAAAGATTTACAACCTTGGAAACCCTACGGGGCAGTTCTACTCTGTCCAACAGGGTCACTATGAGTCAGAATCAACTTGATGGCAACGGGAAATCTTTACAGGATCAGATCACCAGGTCTTTTCTCTCCCAGAGCCGCTGGTTGGGTTCAAACTACTGACCTTTCAGTTAAGCGGCCAACTGCTTAACCATGGTGCCACCAGGGCGCCTCTTCAAGGACTTAGTAAGTAAAAAGATATAAAGTATCTTTTAATAATTTTTATATTGATTAAATGCTGCAATGATAATATTTCAGATATACTGGATTAAGGAAAATATATTATTAAAATGAATTTCAGCTGTTTGCTTTTTATTTAATGTGGCTGCTAGAAAGCTTAAAATTACATACGTGGCTCTCGTTGTATTTCTATCTGACAAGGCTGTTCTAAAATGAACATTAGAAAGCTGAGTCAGCAGCTCCTCACAATGCTAAACACAATGTTACCACATGACCCAGCAATTCCGCTCCTAGGTATCTGCTCAAGAGAAATGAAAACAGACGTCCTCACAAAAACGCACATGATTGTTCACAGCAGCCTCTTTCATTACAGCCAAAGAGTGAAGACCATCCAAATGTCTATCAACTGTTTCCATACAATAGGATATTCCACCATAAAAAGGAATGAAGCACTGATTCGTGATACAACATGGATGAACCTTGAAAACACGATGCTTAGGAAAAGCAGACAGACACACGAGGTCATGTATTGTATGATTCCATTCACATGAAGTGTCCAGAACAGGCAAATCTAGAGAGACAGAAAGAAGCTTAGTGGTTAGCAGGGGCTGGGGACTGGTGGTGATGGAGGAGGGGGGAATGATAGCTAAAGGGTATGGGGTTTCTTTTGGGGGTGATAAAAATATTCTAAAATGGATGAGGTGATGATTGTACAACTATGAATATGCTAAAAAAAACACTTGAATTGTACACTTTAAACAAGTATGAATGTTCTCTCTCAATAAAGCGTTTTTTTTTTTTATTTCTAAGCTCTGTTTGCTGAAAGGGCCTAGAAGCAAAGACACCCCAGAAGCACACCTGCTGCCCAGATCTCGGTCTCTGAGAGGAACCAGAGGCCCTCAGAGAAACGGCTGATCCCAGGACTGAGGCAGGGTGGGGAGGAGACGATCCTGGGACATCCTGTTACGGAGAAAGGCGCTCAGTGCTCAGAACAGTGCGGGCACGCAAGAGACACAGAAGCAGGCTGAAGGGGTTCCCCCCGGCCAACTCTGGGACAATTTGAACACCAAAATAATCAAGGACAGTAATACGGAGGCCCTGGGTGGCAGAAATGGCTAAGCGCTCGACTACAAGCTGTGACCTTTTGGAAGCAGATCCCGGGCCTGTCTTCCAAGGCACCTCTGGGTGGGTTTGAACTCCCAACATTTCGGTTAGCAGGCGAGTACTTTAACCACTGCATCACCAGGGTTAAGTCAGACACAAAAGGTCATATATTTTATGATTACATTTATATGAAATGTTCAGAGAGACAGAAAAGAGATCAGTGGTTGCCTAGGGCTGGGGAGGAGGCAGGGCTGGGAGTTGGGGGCTGATGGGAAGTCAAAGCAGATGGGCACAGCATTTCTTCTGGGGGTGACGGAATGTTCTGAAATCGTGTCGATGGTTGCACAAGTCTGTGAATATACTAAAACCCACAGAATTGCAGACTTTAAATGGGTGATTTTATGGTATGGAAATTATATCTCCGCTGTTATTAAAACAAAATAAAGCCCTAGCAATGAAGAGAAAGACATGGGACGATGGTTCTCAAACTGGCCTGTGTCAGAACCACCTGGAGGGCTTGGTGAACCGGGGTGGGTCCCAGCACAAAACACCCTGGTCCAGTGGGCTGGGGCAGGGCCTGAGAACTCGAATTTCTCACACAAGTGCTGCCTACTGATGGGGGACCACAGGCTGAGAACCAAAGAAACCACTGCAAGTGATGACGTTTGTTTGCTTGTTGTTTCTTAAATGGAGATATAAAATTCACACGCCTTAAAACCCATCCCTTTAGGGTACAATTCAGTGGGATTTTTTTAGTATATTCACAAAGTTGTGCAACCGTCACCACTACGCAACTCCAGAACATTTTCATCACCCCAAAAAGAAACTTTCTATCCACTTCTTGGTTATGAATAATGTTACAATAAACACAAGTTTTGTATGGACATGTATTTTCAATTCCCTTGGGTCTAAGAGAATTGCTGGGTCATATGGTAACTCTACGTTGAACTTTTTGAGGAACTGCCAGACTCTTTTCCACAGTGGCTGCACCACACCAGCAATGCCTGAGGGTTCCAATTTTGCCACATTCTTGTCAATGCTTATTATTGTCTGTCTTTATTACAGCCATCTTAGTGGGGGTGAAGTGGTTTCTCATTGTGGTTTTTGATTTGCATTTCCCTAATGATTAGTGACGGAAACCCTGGTGGAGTAGTGGTTAAGAGCTACGGCTGCTAACCAAAAGGTCAGCACTTCAAATCCACCAGGTGCTCCTTGGAAACCCTATGAGGCAATTCTACTCTGTCCTACAGAGTCACTGAGTCTGAATCGACTCGACAGCAACAGGTTAATGACTAATGATGCTGAGCACCTTCTCATATGCTGGGGGCTTGAAGCAAAGATCTGAAATCGCTGCTGCCGGTAGAGAAAGGCAACTTCCGAGGAACTGGGGAAGGGCTGCCCAGCACATGTGGGAGCAGGCCAGGGTTTGCCTGTCTCTTTCCTTTCCATGATACTATACTGTGTCCTTCCCAGCGTGAGTTACAGCCCCGTCTTTCCTTCCTGGGTCTGCCCTGGCAAGTATGTCAGCATATCTGGGAGCTAAAACAATGTTGAAAATGTGTTATATTGACTGAAAGCACATTTCTTGATCTTAAAATTGTTGTTAGGTGTCGCCGATTCCGACTCATGGCGATCCCATGTGCCAGAGAACTGCCCCATAGGGTTTCCTAGGCTGTAATCTTTATAGGAGCAGATCACCAGGTCTTTCACCTGCCGAGCCTCCGGTGGGTTTGACTGCTGACCTTTCAAGTTAGCAGCCAAGCGCTTAACCACTGTGCCACCAAGGGCTCCTTTAAAGTAGGTGTTTAATATTTGTGTCTTCTTTGGAAAAAGGGGGTGGGACTTAATGGTCTGAGATTGGAGGAACCCCAGAGAGCACGGCCCCCGGACTCTCAGTCAACCCAGCACTAAAACCATTCCCGAGGCCAACTCTTCAGACAAAGATTAGACTGGACTATGGGACATAAAATGATACTCGTGAAGCGTGTGCTTCTTTGCTCAAGTAGATACATGAGACTAAATGCGCAGCTCCTGTCCGGAGGCGAGATGAGAAGGCAGAGCGGGTCAGGAGCTGGTTGAATGGACACGGGAAATCCGGGGTGGAAAGGGGGAGTGTGCTGCCACAGCATAGGGAGAGCACCTAGGGTCACAGAACAATGTGTGTGTAAATTTTTGTATGAGACTAACTTGAATTGTAAACTTTCACTTAAAGTACAATAAAATGAAATTTAAAAAAATAAAAAGGGAGTAGGGCAAAAGACTAAGCGAAATTTCTTTTGTCGTTTTCCTCCCCTTGATAGAAAACAGAATCTTCTCTCCATTTCCAATCTGTGTGATTGCCGAAATGAAGCCGAGAAGTGCTTCGCAGCGTATGCCCTCCCACATGTGCGTGCGGCATCACTGTCCCCGCAAAGGCCCCCCCCAGGGAGGACAGCGCCACAGACAAGGAAGGCGGCTTGGGCAGATGGGGAGTTTATTTGCTGCGGTTCCTTGGCGCTAGTTTACAAGGCAAAAAAAAAAAAAACAATTGAAATAATAATTATAGTTTTTTAAAAACCCTGTCAACAGCTTTCAGTCATGTCTTTATATTTTGACAAAACTTTTTAAACAAATACAAAATAATCTAGGGGGAAAAAAACTATACACGGATCATTCACCCCTCTGATAAACAGACTAACACTGACCCAGGCGCCTCTCGGTCTAGGCGAGGTCCGTGGGAACCAGTGCAATGGACAATGGACTTGGCCCAAGGGCCGGAGCCGACCCAAGGGACGCCAGTGACAGCAACTTCGCTGGCGCCGCCCTGGCTCTCCCGCCCAGGAAGTTCCGTGTCCAGCCCGGAACCTCTTCCGTGGCCTTCAAATAAAGACGCCTGAAGTCCCTCCAGGTAGAACCCAGTTACTCTTGACTACCACGCTAAAAGGGGGGACCCGAGAGTGACCCCCTCCTCCCTGCAAAGGCTATTTCCAGAGATGCTGACCTGCCCTAAGAATGGCAGAGGCGCTGGGTCCTGCCGCCTGGGGAGCCTGCAGCGCGGCTCGCCCACCCCCCACCATCCTTCGTGGGGAGCCCTCTACACTCTCTGGGCGGGGTCGGGGGTGGCTGGAGGAGGCGGCCGAGGTGACTGGCCAGCTCACGCTCGTGCCCGTGGCACACTGGCCCGGAGTGAGCAGCAGGAGTCGCCCCTGAGAGTCCCTGAGAGAATGAACGTGGAGCGCCCCGAATCCCGCAGCCCGCCCCCACCTAGGGCTTAGGAGGGGCCCGGTCTACTCACACACGTTTCTTTAAAAAAAAGAAAGAAACGAAACAAGAGACGAGGCAGACGGTCTCCCCCTCTTTCCAGGAAACCGCCTGCAGCCCTGCCAGCAGATTGGGGCCCACTCCCCCAGCGGTCCCACCCCAAAATGCATGGCGGGTATCAGGGGAAGGGCTGGCTTGGAGGCTGACAAGCTGAGCCCTCAGGGGACCTGGTGAGCCCACCCCCCTCCTCTAAAACGAGGACTGGAGTTGTAGGAAGAGGGAGAAAACCAAACAGGAGGCAGTCAGGGCACCCCGAGACCTCTGCGGGGCGCTGCCTCAGTTTTGGTTACTAGGTATTAACTCAAGGAAAGATGCTGACTTTTTATTTTAAAGCCCAACAAGAACTTGAATTCTGAAAGAGAACAAACGACTCAAGTGTCCAGACGAGTCTCTTCCCTCCTCAGTGCTCTGCAGGCACTTGCAGTTGACAGCCTCGGCCACTCGAGTCCCCGAGGCCACGGCGGCACTGCGTTCCGACTCCGCGACAGGTCCTGAGTGCTCGCCGCAGCCACTGCTCCCTCTACCCCCTCCACCCTCGCGCTCAGACGGGCGCAGAGCGAGGACCCAGCACCAGGCCTGGGTGGCCCCGTGGGCGGCGGCACAGGAGGCAGGCCCTGCCTGTCCGCGAGCCCGGCCAGCACGCCTCAGCAGCTGCTGCTTCTCCCGGGGGAGCCGCCCACAGCAATGGGGCAGGACGCACCGGAAAAGCTCTACGTTATCTTTTTTCTTCTTGAAAATAAAAATATATCTTTATAGCATGTGGCTTCTCTTCCATTCCACCTTTTTCTTAGCATGTAATAGATACGGAGACGTGTGTTTATGGTGCAGGGTGAAGCCTTCTTCACAGGATGTAACGAGAGGTAAACGGTCGGCCCCGGCTTTGCTATCAGACCTGCACAGTGGGGAGGCGTCAGGAGGCTGCGGGCTGCTGGGAGCTCCGTTCTAACAAACAGAGGCCAGAGAATCCGTGCTTCCAGAGGCTTCCAGACCCTCGCCCCTAGGGATCACAGCCCACCTATCCCACTTTTAAAAAATAGCAAAAGCTGAAGCTAGTCTCTAGGATTCGGGGCAATGCCTAGTACGGAGCCGCTCCTGCTCCGCCACCCGCTCCCGTTCGCAGGGGCCACGGCGCATGTCGCCCCCAGATTCGGTGCCAGCGGCTGGGCTGCTCAGTGTCTTTTCGTGGAGGAGACCTTCTTCTTACGCGCCGCCAACATCTCGTAGAACGGGTCCCTGCTGATGGCCGCTCTAGAGTACACAAACGGAGAAAACATAAGAGACGTGAGAATACAGTCAGGAAGAGAGGCCAGGTGAGAGCCCGGGGGGCTTCTGGAGGGTCCTCACCACTCCCTGAGCAGGGCAGGGCCAGGCAGGGACAGGATGGGGCGCTGCTGGGCAGGGCGGGGCCGGGCAGAGGTGGGGCGGGGTGGGGCAGGACTGGGACGGGGCGGGGCAGGGGTGGGGGGGGCGGTGTGTGTGGAGTGGCAGGACCAGGGCTGGGCGGTGCCGGGCAGCGCAGGGCAGGGCTGCGTGTGGGAGGGAACCCGGTGCGAAGCCCTGGTCCTGAGGGGGCCCCACCGTGAAGGTATCTGACCACTCAGGGCGGTTTAAGGAGGCAATCCAACCAGTAAAAATCTGGCTTCATTTTCGGGGCTCTAGGGCAGATCTGCCTTTGCCCCTTGGGTGGGCCAAGCCCCTTGGGTGGGCCACGGAGGCCTATGCAGAGGAGTCTGCGACACTCTGCGCCCTGTGAGAAGCAGTGTCTTGTCCCAGAATGTCAATTTGCAACCAGACAGACGGAGGCTCACGCCCAGGTGCCGACCCTTTCCTCGGGCTATGTCGTAACTCCTGCTTTCCCCAGTAAAATGAGACACTCCCGCCCCTCACTGGGCTTTTGGGAGGCTGAAAAGAGAGAATGTATACAAAGCGCACAGCAAACTGGCAAACAAGCTCTCAGCCAGAGACTGCCATTACTGCTGGAGCTCCAACTGTACAGAGACCTGACAAGAGAACCCCACGCTCATGATGACCAGGGGCCAGTGTGCTGGAGGCTCGGGCTGCTGGGCAAAACCGGCCCTGAAGCACCGGAGGAGAGATGCCCACCCAGCAGCCCTCGCGCGCCTGCTGTTGCCAGCTCTTTCTCCAGGAGAAGCACAGAGCAAGGACGGCGGACACTTAGCGCTGCAGGACACTGACAGCGCAGGTTCCTGAGTCAGGCTGAAGACCAGCACCACCTCCGCGTGTCTTTGGACAATTTCATTAACTTTGTTGTGCCTCAGTTTCCTCATTCATAAAACCGGGGTAATAACCCTGATACGATATGCCTACCCTTCGCAGGGTGGTGAGGATTAAAGAGACCGTGCCCACAGAGTGCTCAGAAAGGTGTCTGCAGACCTGAGTCTGAGCAGAAGCCTCATCGGCCACGGGGGCAAAGCGAGTTTTGGAACAGAGCCACGGGAGCTGAGCAATCCCATAGGGAGGGCTTACGCTGAGGTTAACTAAAGAGCTGAAAGATTCTAGCTGTGATTTTAAGGACTGCTTAACTGTTCTGACCTCAGAAGTCACAGACCACCTGAGAGACAAAATGTCCAGGTACAGCGAGACCTTCCTGAATGAATAATGAGGGAAAGGGAGGCTATGTACGACCACATATCCAAAAATGCTGTAACGCTGTAGCGATTAAAACAGCACAGCATTTATATAGAAGCAAACAGATCAACAGATGTTAGCATGTGTACAAACTAAAGAAAGTACTTCAGATCAGCAGGGAAAAATGGATTAATAAAAAAATGGTGTTGGGACAACTGGCTATTTATTTGAGGGAATGAAGTTAGATCCCTTACTTCAAACCAGGGCTTTGAACTGAACCGGTTCTTTCAGGTTTGAACCCCTGCTGAGAATTTGCATTTCTAACAAGTTCCCAGGCTATGCTAATGCTGCTGGTTAGGGAGCAACTCTGAGAACCACTAGTAGAGCAGTGGTTCTCAAAATTTATTATACGTAAGAATCACCCGGGGATCTTGTTAAAATGTAGATTCTGACTCAGTTTATCTGGGGTGGAAATGCATATTCTCAGCAGGGATTCGAACTGAACCAACTGGTGTGAAGCCCTGCTTCAAACCACAGATAAAAAACAAATTCAATGAGGAATAAAGGAATAGAGAAGGCCGACCTATAGGAGACTCAGATCTGGGGGTGACAAGGGGCGAGGCAGTGTGAGGCTCCCACACCCACGAGCTGAAGGACGCAGTCAGAGCTCCAAGGTCAAGGAGAAGAAAAGGGCTGCAGTGGGGAAGAGGTCAAAGACCAGGGCTCCTCGATCTTCCCACCCGTTCAGATCCCAGAAGAGCTTGTTAAAATGCAGATTCTGAGTAAGTCAGGGGCGGCTGGGATTCTGAGCTCTAAAAGCTCCCAGGTGAGGCCGACGCAGCCGTCCCTGGACCACACCGAGCAGCGAGGGCAGAGGTGACGGCCGCAGCCACAAAGGTGAGGGCCAGCACACACCAAGCGACACACACACAATGCTAAAGCAGACGGCCTTCCCTCAACACAATCCGAGAAGAAACTAAAACTGGATTTCAAAGAGCGGGGCCCATGAATCAGCAATATTTGATCATGGCTTCTTACCGCACTCTGCATTGTTCGCTTACATCCAAGTTCCCAGACTTACTGCCTGGCCAACATCACAAGTCACTACCAAATGGAAGGACAGACTTAGACCTTTAGATGTGGGAGGAAGCAATGCTCTCTGGGGCAAAGCTCTCATTTCCCCGCCACACTGCGTCAGTCGCCAAGCTCCCGACTTCAGGCCAGGTTCTTTCCAGTCCTCCAGGTTCCTCCGCTCCTGAAAGCACCATGGGAAATGCATGTCCCAACCATGGTGACAGTGGCATCACTGGGTGCCCCGGTCAGGGATGACACACCCAGGATGCCTTCACTGAGAACGCACTTCTGAGAGACACTCCCCAAATGTCCTAAAGGTGGAAGGGACGCCTGCCTGGCCAACCTTGTCAGCCCCATCAACACTGATGAGCAAGAGGATAGCACAGACAGCCCCCTGTATCCATGACGACCACCACCTCCACTGAGCGGTCACCCTGAGAATGAGACTTGCTTTCTAAGGTGAGAAAAGGCCGTCCAGTGAACGGCGGGGCTGTAAGTGCGCCTACATGTTCCCTCGGCTCCATGGGGTGCACCTGGGAAACAAACATGGTTTGAGGTGGTCTCTGAACACCTGAAATGGTCAAATCCAGAGACCTCCTGAAAAGTCGCCAGGGAATCCCAACCAAAGCATCCCCCAAAGATTTAAGACGAGCAGTACAGAGGAAGAACAGACAGTACATGTAGCGGCTGAAAGGATCCACACTGCGGGGTGAGAATAAAGGGAAGGCGGGCCACCCTCCCGACTCCGGAGGCCACGTACTTAATGCACTTGATCCACTCCTCCTTCTCCTCGGGCGTCGGTGCGGAGATGCGGTACACCGTGTGGTTCCCCTCCACCACGCGCCCGTCAGCCTCCGTCTTGCAGGCCTTGATCACTTGGTCTTTGTTGTCAGGGATGTAAAGCTCGAAGCAGTTCTGAGAGTCGAGAGAGAAGGAGCAAATGACTGACAAGTCACAGAAAGCTGCTGACCCGGCAAAGCGCTCATTACTTCCCCAAAGACTATTCTGATCTTCATGAAAAAGAGGCCGGACAGATTTCCCTTGGAAAAGAGGAGCCTGGAAGGTGGTTCTGCAGAATGTAAACTGCAGATAAGCAGGCCTTACTGACAAAGGTATTAGCTGAAAAAATGTTAGCTCTCCTCCTGATACACAGAAAATATGCAGAGAACTGCAGGTTACTTCATGCTTTTTGAAGCCCAGCCAGCAAAATCAGAATATTCCAAAACGAAGGGGAACTATTGTATCAGGAGCCCCAAGGTTATGGAAGAAGCAGCCCAATCCCAAGTGCTGCTGCTGCCATCTGAGGAGGGGCAGCATCAACACTGCACTGATACTGGTCAACCAGTAAGTGACAGAGCGAGTGGCAGAGCAAGAAGAGGGTGTGAGAGTCTCCTCCTGGGCGTGGCTGGGAAGGACAGTAAAGACAACCAGAAAAGGGCTAAATTAAAGTCACAACGGTACTTGCCAGTGGTTTCTCTCTAACTAAACCTTTGCAGTTTTCCTCTTTTCCAGAGGGCTGCTATGCCCACCCCTTTTCTCCTCACAACAGATACTCACTGGTTTTTTGGAGTCCTCCACCTCCCGGATACTCAGGTTCTCCAAAGGGATGATCCCCCGGGGCTCCTTATCCTACAGGAGAGAGGAAGAGAGGAAGATATCACCGCTTATCCCACAGACAACAGGAGAGGTGGACGTCGCCGCTCCGTCTGAGGACACACGCTGTGACGTTCCTCGTCAGCGCCTCACTGCAGCCCTCCTGCCTTCACCAGGACTTACACTCACACGCCAGCTCTGGGGCCTACACACCCTGCTCTGAGAAAGGATGAAAAAGCCACAGGGGTCGTCGAGCTGGGACACAGGAACCCCTCTGATCAACAGCCCCCTGCCAGTGGAAAGCCCAGGAGATTCCACAGACGCCTTGGAAGAGTGTGTTCACAATGGCCCGAGGCGGCTGCTCCTTCCTCTTACAAAACGGCCCCCCTTCCTTGCCTGGCTCTCCACAACTTTGAAGCCTCACTTCCAGGGTTGGCAGCTCCAGAAAGCCTTTCTCAGCCTCGCAGGTGTCCCTGTCTGTGCCCCCACGCCTGGGAGTTATCTGTGGGGACATCACTGCCTCCCTGTCAGCTGCTGCCCTATCATTGCCCAGTCTGGCTCAAGGAGACACTTCCTCCCTGACAATTCCTCCCAGATCTACAATAGCCCCTACATACATGTCCAATGTCCAGAGCAGAGCTGAACCACTTGCCACCCCACACCCAAGTGGTCCTCCTCCAGTGCCTCCAGGCTCTCCCCTTTCGAGGCCCACTCCTACACCCAGTTCCACCTGCCCGAGGTCTGCCTCCATCCTTCACACTTCCTAATTACTGCTGATGGTCATTTCTGCACTGCCTGGGCCTGGAGCATTCCTGGTGTGTCCTAGCCGTTCCACAGGATCAGCTCTACATGTAAGTGAAATCGGTGCTCACCACCAATCTTGACTTCCTGAGGTCTATCTTTTGAGTCATTCTCTCACTGGCTGGGTTTTGCTGTCGGGCAACTTTTGCAAGAAGGATGCACGGGGCAGCAACCTTTTCCTGTATTTGATAAGGCCGTTCATTGGGCTTTACTTCAAGGACCAGCTGGCTGGATAAGGGTTCTTGCTCATACTTTCTTTCCTTCAGAACTGTGTAGCCCTAGATCCATTATCCCGGGTGCTGAAAGCTACTGGAGATGATCTGCTTTTTCCAGCTGAATGCCAGAAGAGTTGGCTCTAAGTTCAGCTGTTTACCTGGGTGAAGCCTTGGTGCCAAGCTTCCTAAAACTGTCCTGAAATACAGTGAACTCTTTTGATTTGCAGATCTAGGTTTTTCTCTCCTTTTCAGGGAAATTATCTCATAACATAGCACAGTATGCCTCCGAATTCACAGGTACCGATTATTCTGGTATTGGGGTCATCTTTATCTGTCCTCTGTATCTGTTAGCTGCTTTCTCTGTCTTCCTTTTTCTTCTTCTTCTTTTTTTTTTTTTTTAACTATTTTTCTTTTTCAGATGCACTCTCTGTGACCATTTCAAGCCTCTTCTCTGTAACAGCGATTACATTTTCGGCTCTTTCTGTCCCATTCCTTTAAGTTTTAACTTACTTATTAATAAATAAGTTGAAATTCTTCAGTTATATGGCTTTGGTGCTCATTTGTGTGACATCTGAACCTCCCCTTTCTGGCCTTCCAGTTTGTCCCAGGAACTCTGGCAGTGACACTGCTTGTCCTCCCACCGTGTCTGTAGAAGCAATGACCTTCCCATTTCACTCTGCCCTCCCCCTTCACTGGATCTCCTCCCTTCGGCTGTCCCTTCTGAGCCACACGCTCGCCATTTCTCCTACTCCAGAAACCTCAATTCCCCAAATCACCGTTGTCTCCATCTCCCTTCCAACAGGGCACAGACTCTTTCATGGCAAGGACCCAAGTTCGCTCTTCCTGGCCCAGCTCCAAAGCGCCTTCATAGCGCGGTGCACGCTGTTCTCGGTACCTTTTCCCTGCCTGGAGTCCGTCCCCGTCTAGAAGCGGATGCTGCCTCTGAGCTGCAGCTCCTTCTGCTGGGCCCACTGCATCTTCAGGGCACCCGACTCTGAGGTCTGTCTCAGTTCTTGCCTCTGCTTAAACTCTCCCCCACCCCCCAAAGAGGCAGAAGGACAAAGGGGACTGTCCCCACTGCCTCCGTGGGCGACGGCCGGTGCTCACCGTCGTGTACTCGAAGTAGTAGAGGCAGTTGTCTGTCAAAATGAACCAGCGCCGCTTCCACGTCTTCACCCTGCCACCTGCAGAGCAAGCAGAGAGCACACTGGACAAGAGACGCCAGGCCTCGCGTGGGCCCACGACACACAAAGCGCTCTTCTCCAGAGGGGCGAGGGGGCAGGGCACTGAGGGGACACGGGGGCCATGGCAAACTGGCATCGAGAACGAGACACAGAGCCAAGACAGAAGCATCTTTATGAAGTGAGAGTCTCCGGTACAAGCAGAGCAAGCGATTTAGTGACACCTGGCAATGGAGTCAGACGCAGGATGGGCGCCCAGGGCTGGGCGAACCCAGGGCAACGATGACACACAATGCAGACGGGACGCGGACTAGAGCAGCGGCAGCAAAGGCCTACCTGTGTGGCGGAAACTGGCAAACAACAGAGAACGAGGGGCAAGGCCAACCTCCCGTCCGGGGCCACGCTGCTAACCAGCAACCAGCCCCGGGCCTTTAAGGAGCAATGTTTGACCGGAAGGTGGTGGGAAGGAGGAGATAGGAAGTAAGCCATCTCAATCCCTGCACAGGCAAATCCACAGTATTCCTGGACCGTGGAACTCAAGCTCCTGCGGCTTTACCCTCTGCCCCCCTTCCTGATTGGGGTGAATTTCTATAAGGGCTCTCAGGATTCAGGGCCAGTACCCTGAAAATAGAATTCCCCCAGAGTACTGGATGAGAACCAAAGCTGAATTCTTGTCTCAGGGAAGAACCAGCTTTTCGGGAGAGACCACCAGCAGCAGCTTACTCAGTTCTGAACTTCTCTCCTGAAGCTCATCATAAAAATAGCTAGACGCGGGGGCTGTGGGGCAAAGGAGCAGGGGGAGTGGAGGCTGTGAGCCCTTGCTGCTATTTCAATAAAAAGCACTGGGGGTCACAAAGTGGTGCTGAGGCAAGTACTAAGGAAGGGCAAAGGGGCTATATCCTACTCTCAAAACATGGCATGAACCACGCACCTCCTCTCTTCCCCCGCTTATCCTGGGTCAGAACACCAGCCATACGAAAACCACCCCCGAGGTTTGCACTGTTGAGGTGTGCACGGCCTTCCACAAACACTCCTTGCTGCCCTGGACGGCATGGCCCTGTTGGTGAGCCTTGACTTAGAGAACCTCACTTCTGCAGCCTTCAGAAAAAGCAAGAAAATCTAGCGGCGGGTGTCTCGTATGACACCAGCGGTGCTTTCCTCTCCTGCCCCTCATCACCAACAGCTGCACAAAGAGTAGGGCGGTTTGAAAGGAAATATTTCCAATTGCCAGGCACGCCCGCGTGCTTACACTGCAGAAGCCTGGCAGGGGCAGGACTTGTGGAGCCGTGCACATAAACATTATGGAAGTCGAGTGCCAGCACAGACCTGGCAGACAAGCGTGAGGCCGTGTTACAGTTCTGCTTGGGTGGCTGCAATCTAAGGAGGTACAGTGATTGGCCATTAGCTGTCCAGGTTCAAGACGTCACAGACCCAGGTCAGGAAGGGGAGCCAGCCATACATGAGCCCGGGCCCCTGCCGCCCACCCACCCTGTGCTGACACCAAGCAAGGAAGACTCACTCCCTCCCCGCGACTCTTGACTTTTCTGTGAGCACTCGCCTCTGGTCCCTAAAGGTCATGGGGCAGGAAACTAAGAAAAAACAACAGATGGCTAGGAGGACATGCGTGGAAAGAAGGAAGGCTGGCAGAATTAAAACAAATGAGGAGGAGAAAGGAGACGAGGGAAATATAGAACCGGAGCCAATCTGCTATGAAAATGGAGCCCCGTGCCCATCTCAGAGGACTGAGAACTCGGGTTTGCAGCTTCTTGGGTTCAGCACACAACAGAACACCTACCCATGCTGGCCTCCCACGCACCCCCGTCACCGGCCCCAACCCGGACAGATGCTCAGGGCTTGGGAGAGCATGGGAGAGGGGTCAGGGGTCAAAGAAGCAGAATGGGAGGGAGTCTAAGAGAAAGAGCAAAGCCGGAAAATTCCTGATAACAGAAGGTGGTTATGTCCCCGGGGTACCCTGCTGTGTTGCAGAGACCTCTGCCATGGAGCATCACTGTGGTCCCCGGGGAACATTCCATGTTGAAAGAAAACAGACGTGAACAAGCAGACAGATCAATGAGCGCAACTAGGACAGTCCCTGTGGAACTCACAGGACACCCCACAGCTGCTCGGCCCTCGCTCACCCTCACAAAGAGGCTAGGGTGCGTCTCCCCTGCAGCTTGGAACGAGCCCCCGGAACATCTTAATAAATGTCACAGCGCGGGGCTGTTCCTTTCCAGGTTAGCTTTGCTCAAGTAACCCGTAAGCAGAAACCTGAGAAGCCTGGGCTGGGGAAAGCCTGTTTCCTGAAAATTGGCAAATGCAGCGTAGCTACCCGACAGCATGACTACTAAGAGGCCAATGACTCTTTGAAAAAGCGGAGGGAGAAAAAAACAAAACAAAACATAAAAAGAGAACCGAGGCTGTAACGCCCTCCCTCCGAGGGCCCGGGAAATTAAATACAGGGTCTTTAGGGCTGTTTGTTTGTTTGCTTTAGACTTTACTCGGCACCGCTCTGAGTTTGCGAGCCCTCCTTTCCCATTTCACGCACAGGCAAGCGTCCTCAGTGTCATCTAATTTCTTCTCTGAACTCCCTTTCTCAACCCCGTGTGTCAGGAGCACACGGCTTGGGGAAATCAAAGGTCCCTTCTCCCCCGCCTCGTCCTCACTTTACAAAAGACTTCACATCGGGCTGATGCACAGATGTTGATGTGACTCAACAATGACAGCATATGCCTGGCCAATAATTCCAAGAGAAAATTCAGTAAAAACTTTCTCTGCTTTTACAAACCCAGTCTTAGTGTATTTTCTTGCATTGCTGCATCCCATAAAGTTAAATCATTCTACATCTTGGTACCTGGCTATCTGATGCACTAGATTCTACTCCTAAAAGGTAAATCATGGACATTGCTCCAAACCCCTGAGCCTGGCCAGTTCCCTAGGGACTGTACAATAAGTTAGAAGCAGCAGTAACACTACCACCAGCAATTAAAAAACAAAATAACCAAAAATAACAAAATCAGAAAACGCTGCAGCGATTGCAGTTGCCTGGGCAGAGCAAGCGAGCAGGTTGAGGGGATTACATACCTCCTGGAGTTTGGGGCAAGGAAAAGGAGAGCCAAAATCATGGAAACATACAAATGAGGGAGAAAAGAAAATTAAAACAAAGAAATTAAACCAGGCTCCTTAATCTCACAGCGCACGTATCAGTCACATTCATGTCTGCTTGAGGAAGGCGCTGAGCGTGAAAACACGAGGGGGCCAGCCGGGAATGAGGGGGTTGCGTGTGCCACACCCGTTGGTTAAGGCCAGCCCTGAGGCACTACTGAAAATCTTGCCCCCAGACGCCATAAATTGTTTTTACAAAGCTAATATTTATTCATATATCCGGAGTCCAGAGCAGAGAGAGTGAAGGTCACTCCAGGGAAAATGAAATGTCCTTTCAGATGACTATCATTTTTTAAACTGTGTGTGAAAATGCACACACGTAACCCACGGATATGTATGTACACATGTGTATACACAAGGATACAGACTCTTACGGATATGCGTACACAGACATCTGCACACAACTACGAGGCTGGCCCCTGCCTCCTGCAGGACCTAAGGACCCAGGGGCGACCCTGAGAGTGCTGGAATGAGCACAACCGTGAGCGTCCAGAAGGGCTTAGTGGGGGTGGAGAAAAGGAACGCACTGACCTAAAAACTAGCCCCACATGTAGTTCAGTTTTCTCCTTTTAGAAATATGGAATGCCTCGTGAATTTGCATGCCATCCTGGTGCAGAGACCAAGACAATCTCTGCGCTGCTCTAATTTTAGTATCTGGGCTGCCAGAGCTAACACTCGGCATTAGCATTTCAACAAATTTCACTGGCGGGGGAAGCAAATCCAAGCTTGGCTGTACTTTCAAAATTTCCAGTAGGTTTCCTTGTAACTATCTGCTTGCAAATGAGGATGCAGAGCAGGCTGGCTGCCTATGGGGCCGGTAATTTTAGAGCTGTGACTTCAAAGGTTCTACTGGCTTAAAAATGAACTGCTGGCCGATTCCAGAGACATTTAAGACTCGGGTAGTGAAGTGGTGCTTCAGGGAGATTTCACAAATCAAGTCACTATGTCTAAACATAGGACTCAGGACAGGCTTCTTACAAAGCAAACATAAATCCTATTGTTATGTGAACTAGTAGGAATTCAAAGATTGTACTTCAGCGCTTCCCCAGGTGCCAGCAATGGCCAAGACAGAGCCGAGCCTCCTGTCACCGGGAGGAGAACTCAGACGGCAGAGCAGCATGGTTCTAACTTAACACCCTGGACAAGGTGGGGACCCGCTCCACTCAAAGGCCAACGCTGAAGAAGACACGGTACTCTCTCAGTGGCCAAAAAACGACATCAGAGTCAAGGGCTCTCTCTCTATTCTGAAACAATAACAGAATAATCACAGAAGGACAGGGTGCCTGTGAAAACCCCACTAATCTGTTTCCTTTTCGGTCTCTCTAGCACCTTCATGGTGAGGCATGACCACAGGTCTCAGCAGAGGGCAGAGGACTTCATCTCGAGTTTTCTGAATGAACAAAACCATTAATGTAGCTGATCTGGGTTGGCAAGGAGGGAAAGCACTGCCCAGGATGAGGAAGAGTGCTGTTGGGGGAGCTGCAGCCGGCCTCTAGGTTGCCATGCATGCTGCCTGGAGCGGATGCGCGGGTGATGATGCACTGGGGTGGGGGCAGGAGCACCAGGTACACTCTGGGTGACGGGAAGTAGAAAGATGGACACAGCTGTCACCCTCCCAGGGGCCGGGAGGCCAGGAAAGGGGACAGGGCCAGGTCCTACGGGACTGCCTACAAACAACACCTGGTCAGTGAACTCAAGAGTGGAAACGTGGACACAGATACACACGGGCCACACCCCGGACTCTCTGCATGTCACACAGATACACACGGGCCACACGGACGGCTGAAGACAGCTCGTCCCCTGGAGTCTCTGCATGTCACCCAGGGCACCGGCTGTGCACTTCGCCTCCTTTCTGGGAGGATCTTTGTTCTAAAAGAACTCACACCACTCTCTCCGTAGCTAGCCAGTCCCCACCCCATCAGCCCACCGCACACACACAGCCCTTCTAAGTTCCTGTACGGGAGCCCTAAGCTGAAGGGTGGCACTCACCGAGTTTCAACAGCCAGCCTTCTCGGTCTGGATTGAAGAAAGTATGAGTCAGGTCATTCCCATCATCTTCTGGGATCTTAAAGGGTTCGTTTTTTATGCTCTCATACAGATTCTGGGATAAAAGAGGACAAGGCATGTCTCTGACTCCAGAAACATCTTTTCTTCCTCCCCTTTCTCTTTACGCATTCAGCAAGCTTCCACGTGTGCCTGCAGTTTGCCATGGCCCCGCTGGGCACCAGCGGCCGAGGAGCGAGGCAATTCCTGCCCCCGCAGCTCACAGGCCAGTGACAACATAAATGAGATGTCTACTGGGCAATGAAGGAGGAGGAGAAAGCAGCTAGACTTCTTGTCAAGCTTGTAGTTTCAGATTCATAAACCACTTTCCCCTTCCTGATTCCTCCGCTGGGCCTCAGTACCGATTTCTTAATGACATTCACGTAATTAAACGAGTTAGAAGAGCAGGCCTGCCATAAACCCTTCTCCCTCCTCAATGCAACGCTGGTCCCAGGAGAGGGGCAGCAGGCGGGTGGGCCGCGGCGCTGGGCTCACCCGCAGGAGCTCCTCGGGCAGGTCCCCCCCGTCGTTGATGCCGCGGTTCATGGCGATGAACCTCTCTACCGTGGGCTTGTCTTTGACATTGGGGTTATGCAGGCTGGTGTTCAACATGATGATGGCAAAGGACAGGACGTAACAAGTGTCTAAGGACAAGAGAAGAGCAGAGAGGAGCCATTGTACGCAAGGCAGTCAGAAACATTCCACCAAAAGAACCAGAAGTGCCCAGTGAAATCCAGAGTGAAAAGGCATGCTCTCTAAAGACGGGGGGAGGTCCCCGGTCTTGGTATGCTCCAGGGTGCACTGTTAACTGAAAACAGCAAGACACGGAAGAGCACAAACGGTACGTCCTTCTGTTTTAAAAGGACCCACGTGTATATGTACAAGCAGCCCTGGTGGTGCAATGGTTAGGAGCTCAGCTACTAACCAAAAGGTCAGCAGTTCAAATCCACTAGCCGCTCCTTGGAAACCCTATGGGGCAGTTCTACTCTGTCCTACAGGGTTGCTGAGTGGGAATCGACTCGACAGCAGTGGGTGTATGGACATATGTGTCTGTGTGAATGCCCACCACATCCTCTAGAAGGACGCATCCACGCTCTCTCAGCACTCGACAGCTGGGGTGAGGGCAAGAGAACTGTGGGAGAGCATGAGGGGAATTTCACTTTTTACTCAATTTTTTTTTTTTTTTTAACAATGAAAATGTAGTCATGTGTAACTCTAGTAGCTAGAAAAATAATAATAATTAAACCATGAATTTAATCCAAAATGTCTAATTCCCTAAGAGAGCCATCTCCTGGGGGTGCTAAGGGTAACTCCCGGGGCTCAAAGCGGTCCCAAGGGTGAGGAGCCCTCACGGCACTGAAAGACGGGAGCTCTTGCAGATTGTGGAACATGTACATTGCAGAAAATCTGAAAATGGCAATGTTTACAGAAAGAAAATACAGATTTCCTATCATGCCACCTCCTAATAATAACTTATTTTGCTTGATTCCGTCCGTCTACATAATCCAATACCTGCGTGTATCGCACAGACAGACGGCAGCAAAACGGGAATCAAAACACATATGTGGTTTTGACTCCACTGCTTTTGCTCATCTTCTTAGCATTTTCTCATGTGATTAAAATCTTTTTCAAATACATGATTTTTTTAATAGTTGCCTACTTCATAATCCAGAGGTACCACAATTCATATTCCTGTTCTCTGTTAGACTTCTGTCATATATATGTTTTTTTTTTTATTTTTTTTATTGTGCTTTAGGTGAAAGTTTACAGCTCAAGTTAGTTTCTCATACAAACATTTACACACACATTGTTATGTGACCCTACTTGCTCTCCCCATACTGTGACAGCACACTCCTCCTTTCCACCCAGGATTTCCCATGTGCATTCAACCAGCTCCTGACCCTCTCTGCCTTCTCAGCTCACCTCCGGACAGGAGCTGCCCATTTAGTCTTACATATCTACTTGAACTAAGAAGTGCACTCTTTATGAGTATCATTTTATGTCCCATAGTCCAGTCTACTCTTTGTCTGAAGAGTTGGCTTCGGGAATGGTTTTAGTTCTGGGTTAACAGAGAGTCTGGGGGCCGTGTCTTCTGGGGTCCCCCCAGTCTCAGTCAGACCATTAAGTCTGGTCTTCTTACTAGAATTTGAGTTCTGCACCCTACTCTTCTCCTGCTCCACCCGGGACTCTCTGTTGTGTTCCCTGTCAGGGCGGTCATTGGTGGTAGCCAGGCACCATCTAGTTCTTTTGGTCTCAGGCTGATGCAGTCCCCGGTTTATGTGGCCCTTTCTGTCTCTTGGGCTAATATTTTCCTTGTGTCTTTGGTGTTCTTCATTCTTCTTTGCTCCAGGTGGGTTGGGACCGATTGATGCCTCTTAGATGGCCGCTTGCTAGCTTTTAAGACCCCAGACACCACTCACCAAAGTGGGATGCAGAACACTTTCTTAATAAACTTTTTTATGCCAATTGACCTAGATGTCCCCTGAAACCATGGTCCCCAGACCCCTGCCCCTGCTACACTGTCCCTCAAAGTGTTTGGTTGTGTTCAGGAAACTTCTTAGCTTTTGGTTGAGTCCAGTGGTGCTGACTTCCCCTTATTGTGTGTTGTCCTTCCCTTCACCTAAGATAATTCTTGTCTACTATCTAGTCAGTGAATTCCCCCCTCCCTCCCTCCTCACCCTCGTAACCATCAAAGAATATTTTCTTCTGTGTTTAAACCTTTTCTTGAGTTCATATAATAGTGCTCTCATACAATATTTGTCCTTTTGCGATTGACTAATTTCACTCAGCATAATGCCTTCCTGATTCATCCATGTTATGAGATATTTCGTGGATTCATCGTTGTATTGTTGGACTTTTGGATGGTTTCCAACTTTCTGCTATTATAAATATCATTTAAATAAATTTTCTTTAGGCATGAATCTAAGCCCTTTCGTTTCAGAAATTATCTAGCGCCAAGAAAAGACTCTGGTGTAAAACGAACTAGGACTAGCTCTCCTAGTTACCTGTGGACTGGAACACCCCATTATTGCACTGGCAGTACCGCTGGGCGAATGCCTCCATCATCCGGTCGATCTTCTGCGCCTCTCCTGGTAACCGGAAGCTCCACAGGAACTGCCTGGTGGAGAAGACAGGCTGCGTTACAGCATCTAAGAAGACAATTTACTCCTCTGCCAAGTGTTAAACTTCTAATTATCTGTAATATCAAACGGCAAAAGGGAGACCTGCTGGACTACAGTCTTGTTACAGTACCTCTGAGCAGACACAGACTCACCACTCTGCACCACCGTTACCTTAACCAAAGGGAGAGTGTGACCAGGCTTACTGGTCTGACAGAGGCTGGAGAAACCCTGAGAGAATGGCCCCCAGACACCCATTTAACTCAGTACTGAAGTCACTCCTGAGGTTCACCCTTTAGCCAAAGATCAGACAGGTCTATAAAACAAACAATAATACACATAGCTCAACCATGTATATGAGACTAAATGGGCACCCAGCCCAGGGGCATGGACGAGAAGGCAGGAGGTGACAGGAAAGCTGGACGAATGGAAACAGGGAGCCCAAGGTTGAAAAGGGGAGAGTGTTGACACATCACGGGGTTGACAACCAATGTCACAAAACGTATATTCATTGTTTAATGAGAAACTAATCTGCTCTGTAAACCTTCGTGTAAAACACAGTAAAAAAATCAAATGCAAAGGTAGAGTACACAGAAAAAAATGATAACGAAAATTTTCCTATTCCAGAGAATGGATCTCCTTCTCAGACAGATACCTGAGACTGAAACACAGATACTGCTCATTTCAACAAACTCCAGTTCCCAGGAACCCTGATGGGTGGTAGGAGAGAGAAGAGTTTCTTATGAAGGACTCACAGCTGACCCCCTAAAGGCAGACACAGAAAGCCTCTGGCCCACGCCCAACAGGTTTAATTGTGGATTACTTCCATCATCTCAATGGCGGGACAAAAAGGTGATGCTATTATTTACAACCACCAGAGTGAACACAGAATGGCTTTAAAATCTTCTCCTGACAATTCTCAAAAGGCACAAGGTTTAGGAAAAATGAATTCACTTCCCTCTTTGTAAAATGGAATACACAACTCTCCCTTCCCATTCTAGGAAGGAAATTAAAGGGTTTTCTATACTGAAAAAGAGAAGAGATTTTAAGTATTCATCAATTTCCAAAACTTCAAATGTAAAACCTGAGGAACATTTGTACAGATTTTGATTTCAGGATATATTATAATTTAATCCCCTTTAACCATCTGATCATTTTCGATCGCAGCCCACTGGACTGCTTTCTTTCAAGATACCTCAAGATATTAAAACTAATTCCCAAAGATACGATTACAATAAAATGTCACGCCTGCCAGATGAAGGAAAACTTCCGTGAACACTTACATGATTTAAAAACCTGTCTTTCACACCTTTCAAGGTGTTTACTTCAAAGATACTCACCGTAACGCCTGGACAAGGTTAAGGTCAGTGAACTCGTGTAACTCCACAAACGCATGAAGAACTTGGATGTTAAACTCATCTCTATCAAGAGAAGTAAAAAAATAGGCGAGAACCAAGAGTCAGAGGCTGATATTGAGACCCCCAAGACACGCCCATCCCCCATCCAGTCACATCTCCAAACTTGGAGTCCCAGGTCCAGTGGGAAGGCTGACCACCGATCTGCCTCTCAGACACGGCCATTCACACAGTACAGAAGAAACCTGTCTAACCGCGTTTACTGGCTAAACAAACACGGTATCGCCATGGCCCCTCTATCAACTAATATCCCCCTCAAAAGAGCTTCCCCTCAATACCAATGTGGCCACTGCCCCTTAGGACAAAAGAACTGGGAGCATCTGGAGTTTGTCTCTCTGTCATTCCTGACCCACCATCTCCACTGCGCGTGAGTCCTGGAGGCCATACCTCTCCCCCAGGTAGTCCCCGATGGCCGTCTTGTTGAGCCCTTCGCCTTTATACAAGAACTGGGCAATGTCCTCACAAGTGTTCTTGAGCAGATCGTTCTCCATTAAGAACTGGATCCCCTAGAGTGAGGTGACAAAGATGCCAATGACGGCCAGCCCGAAGCACTTAGAACCAAGGGGAGGGAGGGAGGGGAGGGGCCAGGCAGGGGTGCGCTGGACACTGAGTAAGTATCCTCGGACACTTGCCAACTGACACCAAGGGTCAGGAACTCACAGTTAGGAAGCGGGGCTTACAACTCAAGAGAACATGACATTTGCTCTACAAAGTGGCAGCATAACGTGTAAAGCTCAAGGAAACATCTTTGGGTTCTACCTGAGCACCATGAAAACTCCCATCTTAAAGACTACTGGCCAGTGCCCTCCCCTTCCACTCACCTTTTTAGGGTCCATGTTAAATTTCTTCCTGCCCATGGCTACGTGTTTGTTCCTCTGCATGTTCTTCCTGCAAAACAACCACCGGAGCCATCTCAGTACTCCAGGTGACTGGGAAGTGCCGAAAGACCAAGACACACCTACTCCTCACGTATCGGCAGAGCCACGTTCCAAAGGACAGTTGGTTATATTAAATGGCCTTATGTGAGAGTCGGGGGCCGTGCCCCATCTTTGGCATCAGTGTCCCTCCCACTATTTGCCTGCCCCCCGCTGCCCGCCCTGGGCGGAGACCTCACCCTCTTCCCTTTCTCCTCCCTTCCCGCCTTCCCCCCCCAACCTCCCCAGCACCTTCCGGCCCTCGCCCAGCCTCCCCCTGCCTGCCCACGAACTCATGTCATCCTGCTGTCACCCTGTGCCTCTGTGGCTGGACCAAGACGTCACGGACAAACGGGACAAGGTGTCCCGCTGCCGGTTGGCCGCCGTCCCTTGTGTGGCCTGGTTGTCGCTGGGGCCTCTGGTGTATCATGCTGGGTGGCCTGTGGAGGGTGCGCCAGGCCTGGCCACGGTCCCACGTGGGGCTCCGACCATTGGAGGCTCTGCCAGAGAATTCTTTCAAAGTAGTTGTAAATGGGAGATGTCGCTAAGTGAGGAGCAGGTGCGATTCCCACAGGCACAGACAGTGCTGGAGAGCTCCCTCCAGGTGCGCAGCCGGCACGCTCTGGCTTGAACCCTGAAAGGCAGCCTGAGGGTCTGGCCGGCCTCCATGCTCAGCTGTCGCCTCTATGCCAAATAAGCCGTTTTCTTTTTTTTAAGATGATTAAAGAAAAACTTTATTAAGGTATAATTTATATACCATATAATAATACACCCATTTTAAATGTCCATTGGAATGATTTTTAGTAAGCTTAATAAATTGTGCGACCATCACCATAATCCAGTTTTAGAACATTTTCATCATCCCAGTAAAATTTCTCACGACCACGTACAGTTAATCTCCATTCCAGCTCCCAGCCCCGGGCCCCCGTTAATCTCTCTGTCTCCACAGACTGGTCTTTTTCAGACACATCATGTAAACAGAACCAGACGGTATGTGGAGTTTCGTGTCTGGTTTCTTCTGCTTAGCATGTGTCTTTGAGGTTTATGCATGTCGTAGTATGTATCAGTCCTTCATTGCTTTTTATGGCTAAATAATATTCCACTAAGGAGCCTTGGTGGTGCAATGGTTAAGCACTTGGCTGCTAATCAAAAGGTCGGCGGTTTGAACCCACCAAGTGGCTCTGCAGGAGAAAGACCTGGCAATCCGCTCCCATAAAGATTACAGCCTAGAAAACCCTATGGGGCAATTCAACTCTGTCATACAGGGTCACTGTGAGTTGGAACTGACCTGACAGCACACAACAACAACAGTAATATTCTGCTGTATGGACACACCTCGTTCTGTGTATCTGTTCACCAGGTGGTGGACGTGTGAGTTGTTTCCCTTTGAGGGCTAGTGTGACTAATATGGTTATAAACATCTATGTACGAGCCTTTGTGTGTATGTATGTTTTCATTTCTCCTGGGTAGCAGATCCCCAGGAGTGGACATTGCTGGGTTGTACGGTACATTTATGTTTAACTTTTTAAGAACCTGCCAAATGAACAGTGGTTTTCTTGACTGTGCATCAGAATGAAAAATGCAGATTCCCAGACCATATTTCTCCCAGTGTGGGCCCACACCAGCAGCTCCTTGTCCCCTGCCCTGCATCCTTACCCCTTCCCAATTCAGAGTCACAGCTCTAGACCACCGCCCTAAATGTCAGCAAACTACAGCCTGTGGGCCAAATCTGGCCCCTGGAACACAGCCACACCATTCGCTTACATGTGACTGCTTCACACTACAAGGCAGCGTTGAGTGGTCATCCGGAGAACGTGTGGCCCGCAAAGCCTAAAATATTTACTGTGTGGCCCTTTACAGAAGAGACCACTGACCCCTGCTCTAGACCACCAGGACAGCACCATGACAAACACTGCCAACCCTTCTGGTATATAACAAAATAATAACATAGAATTATTCCAAGCAGCTCTGGAATGAATATAATAAAACCAAACTGCATTAACAAGGCTACATCAGGGCAAATTTAATTGGCTGTTTAATCATTTCTGTTCTAAATCCAGGAAGATTACTTTGATCAGTATTTCCAAACAAATACCACAGAGAAAACTCTGGTTCATGATTTCCACTGAGAGTGGTATGGCAATTTTAGGGGCACCCAGAGAAGCAAGACGCATACTGCTAAGGCATCTCACTGTGCTTCAGCCTGGTCCCAAATGGGGCTTTCCTGTGGCCACCAGCAAGTACAGCACAGAGCCCTAACTTCACATACTTACACTCCCAGATCTCCACCAGTTACAGTCACAGTCTTACCTGGGATACTAATTTCACTAGTTGGTCAGCTGGCTCCTTAAGCTGTCCAGTCCCGAGACCCCACCATGCTGGCTCAGGCCCTGGAGCATTTCTCTAAGGGGCTTTCCCCATTTTCTACATTCGGGTTTTACATCCTGACAGGACATCCCAAACACAACAGTTACGTTACTGTTACTACATCGCCTCAATTAACTAATACGCATAAGTTTTAGAAAGTGTTAAATCTTGCAGTAGGTATATAAGTATATTATTTCTAGTTGCTTACATAGCTACAAAATGGCAGCATCAGGCCTTCGACTGAAAATATGACAGCCCTCCTTTGGGAAAGTCAGAACTAATGTAACGCCTTTCTGGAGAACACATCCACGCTAAGTCAGAACAATCTGTCTTTATTTCCAGGGGTCTGCAAATAACTCCCCTCTTCAAGGCTTTCAATACAGGAAAACCATTTTAGGTTCCAGATTTTTTAAAAATAGCCTACTTACCACACCCTGACTTACAGCTTCAGATGCAACTGCTGAGAGCTACAAATCCCTACAAGCTAGCTGAGGATTTTAGGGTGCCTAATCATTCACATTCCTGGTGCCTACATTTCCCTGGTGCACTGTGATCATCCACAGAGAATTAATGCAGCAAAACGGAACAACACACTGCGTTCTGAATGTGCATTGCAGACTGCAAAATACACAGGAAGGAGCCAACACCAAGGTATCAGCAAGGGTTATCCCTGCGATGGGGGATTATGGGAAATTTGTTTTCTTCATTCCTTTCTGTATCTTACCAACTTTCTGCAATAAACATGCATTACCTTTATCGTCAGAAGAAAAGCTAGTTTCTTCCCATAAACCATTGCCATGGAGTCGATTCTAACTCAGAGCGACCCTACAGGACAGAGTAGAACTGCCCCATAGGGTTTCCAAGGCTGTAAATGTTTTATGGAAGCAGACAATCACACCTGTCTCCTGTGGAGCAGCTGGTGGGTTCCAACTGCCAACCTTTTGGTTAGCAGCTGAGCGCTTAACCACTACATCACCAGGGTTCCTTGCTATTTTTTTTTTAAGTTTTAAAACGGCTACATCAGGGCAAATTTAATTGGTTGTCTAATCATTTTTGTTCTAAATCCAGGAAGATTACTTCGATCAGTATTTCCAAACAAATATCACAGAGAAAAGTCTGGCTCATGATTTCCACTGAGAGTAGCAACCAACAAAATGCATTTACAATTTACATCCAATAAAATGCATAAATCTTAAGTGAACATTTCAGTGGGTTCTGACAAGTGTAGATGCCCTGTGACCACCACCCCGACAGACACAGAGCACTCCCGTCTCCCCACAAGTCTCGCGAAGCCCTCTCTAACCAATCGACCCTCTCCACCACCTCAGGGGCGACAGACACAGAGCACTCCTGTCTCCCCAGAAGGCCCGCATAGCCCTCTCTAACCAATCGACCCGCTCCACCACCTCAGGAGCGACAGACACAGGGCACTCCTGTCTCCCCAGAAGGCCTGCGTAGCCCTCTCTAGCCAATCGACCCTCTCCACCACCTCAGGGGCAACAGACACAGAGCACTCCTGTCTCCCCAAAAGGCCTGCGTAGCCCTCTCTAGGCAATCGACCCTCTCCACCACCTCAGGGGCAACAGACACAGAGCACTCCTGTCTCCCCAGAAGGTGCACGTAGCCCTCTCTAGCCAATCATCCCTCTCTACCACCTCAGGGGCAACCATCCTTGGACCTCTACCATCACAGCTTGGTTCTGCTGTTCCAGAGCCTCATGGGAATGGAAGCATACGGTACATCTGGCTTCTCTCATTCCTGTTGGTGACAGCCACCCATGCTGCTGCATGTTAGTAGTTCACTCCTTTGTGCTGCTGAGTCACAATCTGTTGTAAGACTGTACACGTGACCTCAATCTGTTCATCCATTCACCTGTTGGTAGACTTTTAGGCTATTTTCAGGTTTTGGCTGTTTTAAACAAGAATGCTATAAATATTCTTGTACAAGACGTTTTGTGAACACATTTTTATGTCTCTTGGGTATAGACCTAGGAGTTGAATTGCTGGGTCACAGCGTAGGAATATGTTTAAAGGAATCACCACACCATTTACCCAAATGGTTATACAATTTTACTCTCACCAGTACTTGCCAGCACTAGGTACCACCAGTGCTTTTACTTTTGCCATCCTAGTGGGTGTGAAGTGGCCTCTCATGGTAGTTTTAAGTTGCATTTCCTTCTGACCAATGATGTTGAGCATCTTTCATGTGCATACTGTATTTCTTTTGTGAAGTGTCTGTTCAAGTTTGTTGCCCATTTTTTATTTGGGCTGTCTTTTTATTGTTGAGCTGTATGAGCTGTTTACATATCCTGGGTACGAGTCCATTTTCAGACATGCATATTACAAATATTTTCTCCTAGTCTGTCGCCTGCCTGTTCATACCCTTTAGAAGTACCTTTTATAACAGCATAAATTTTAAATTTTGACGAACTCCGATTATCAGTTTTTTAAGCTGCAATTTGTTAAATGGAAAGTAAGAAAGCTGTAATCCAAGCTGAAGAGACAGAGGTAGGGAGTGATGAGCTGGCTGCTTTCTACACAACACCCAGCTTCACTAACGCCTGATGGCACCGCCCACAAGTTTAAAATAACAAAAGCAAACAGCCTTATGAAGCCAGACAGGGAGACTTAGGCTTAGAAAAATACAGACGTGTAGAGAATTGGAAGCAGCCCGTTTATTGCATTAAACAGTTAGAAAACGGTCTGGGAACTCCATTCAAACCTAAACTCTCAAAGTCACTAACATTTCATGTAGTTAAAAGAAAAAAAGAAAACAAAACACAAAAAAACCTGCAAATACTCCTTGTCGTTTTGCACTGTAATTTCATTTCTACATTCTCTCCTCTTATGAGTTTGGGAGCCACAGACAAGCTTGTGGTTTTACCCAGACAAAACTGGGCACCAGCCTTTTGAAAGTGTACTCGTAATTATTAGTTAAGCTTTTCCTTTACACAAGGAAAAACAGAACCTTTAAAACACACACACAGTGGACAACAGAGCAGAAGACGCAGCAATTTGCACAAAAATTCAAGGGTGGTTTTAGGCTTTCTGGGACCGTGGGTGTTATCTAGCCCCTCCATTCAGGAGCTCCTGCACCAGAGGCTGGAGGGCAGAAAGCGTGGCATGTATGTGCTTGTAGGAAAAGCAGAAGGACAGAAAGCCGACTTTCTCCTTAAAGGTGCCACATAAGCACCATCACAGGCTGGTGCATTTAGAAGACACAGCCTCAAAAGCCACCCAGCAGCAGGGCAGACTCACCTTTCTTCTGTGGATCCCAGGTTCTCGATTTCATTAGCTACTTCTGCTATCTCATCCTTCAGCCTCTACAAAATAAACAGTCCAAAATGACCAGGAGAAAAAGGCCCAGACCAAACCTGAATTTCTGCAATCTTACCTAAGTCCCACCAACCAAGACACAAAACACAATAAGACAAACAATAATTTCAAATAGTCAATCAGGAAAACTCATTCATTTAACAAATATTTATTGAGCCGCTCCCAGATGAGAAGCATTCTTGAGAATACAAAGGGGAAAAGATATAGCTCCTGACTGCAAGGAGTTTACAGTCTAGGAAAGTAATTAATAATCATATACTATGTGTAAAAAATGTCCCTGGAGAAGGACATCATCTGGGTAAAGTACTCGGCAAAAAAGAGGAAGACCGTCGACGAGATGAACTGACACAGTGGCTGCAACGATGGGCTCAAACATAACAGTATCGTGAGGACCAGGCAATGTTTCATTCCGTTGTACAGGGGGTCACTGTGAATCGGAACTGACACAACGGCACCTAACAACAACAGTAACGAATGGACATTCAACCCCAAAACTGGCTGCCTCGATACAGCCTATCAGGTCAGATTTGTTGTTTACTAAACACAAGGATGACAGAACACCCTTAATAAACTACCGTGCTCCCAGGCTGCTGGGCCAGCAATAGTTCACTGGGCCAACAATGCCCCTTAGTGGCTAGTCAAGGGACTGCCAGTACAAGGCCTTTCCGTTGCCATCCTCCCTACCCTTGGCAAGCCTGCCCTCAGAACAGAGGGACTGCTAAACTTGCCTAGCATTTACCAGTGAAACAGGAATCCAGTAATTAGTGAAAACTACCAAAACAGATTCAAACCAACAACTGGAGCAAGTAAAGTTTTTCCTCTCCACACTGCCACTTAGTGGTTACAGGCCAGCCTCCTCCCTTTCCCTGGCCCTGAGCTCCCAAAGGTTTTACCAAGAATTCTAGCAGACTAATATTTGCCACGTCAAGGGCTAGAATAATCCAACCAGTGACTACTATAACTTATTTCCTATGAAGTTTGGCAGTTCTGAAAAGGAACTTCGAAAAATATTAATAAAATAGTTATCACTGATTAAAACATCTCCTAGGGACCAGAAGGAGCCCTGGCGGCGCAGTGGTTAAGAGCTCGGCTGTTAACCAAAAGGTTGGCGATTTGAATCCACCAGCCGCTCCCTGGAAACCCTCTGGGGCAGTTGTGAGTCAGAATCCACTTGATGGCAATGGGTTGTTGTTTGTTGTTTAGGGACCAGAAATTATGCTAAGACCTTTATAAATATTAAGTCATTTAATCCTTACAACAACCTGTGAAGCAGGTATTTTCATACATAGCTTACAAAAAGAAGAAATCGAAATTCAAAGAACTCAGCATTCTCCCTCTGAGATCACCAGACTAGTACGCGGCAGAGCCCAGCGCTCATGTCCTAGGCCCTCTCTCCCCACTCCCAGCATGCACTGGGCAACCAGCAGCGAGAAGGAGGCTCAGGAGGCAGGAGACGTGGGCTTCACTCTGCTCCAACAGCTGGCCATCTGTGTGATTCTCCTGAGACTCCATGTTCTCACGGGAAGTGGAGGTGATTATCAAACCTACCCCATGCTCACAACGGCAGTGAGAGCAGGCCAGGAAAGTATGGAGAAGATACTCTGTGCAGGACACACTCCCACCCAGACACAAACGTGTGGCTGCTCCGTGTGTGTCAGGAAGGCCTCCACCGCCCTCCTACCTGTATGTCGGCCAGCAGCTCCTGCTTCCGGCGGCGGATGTTCTGCAGCTCCTGGCGCTCCTCTGGAGTCAGGTCACTGGGAACTAGAGAGAGAGAGACAGAGAGAGAACTGTTACAGCAGAGCTTCTATCTCAGCAAAAACAAAGACACCATTGGAAATCCAGATGCCACAAAAGGAGAAAGATACTGAGAAAGACGCCAGAAGCCAGTTTCAGAAATAACCAACTGCTAAGAATAGTTCTGGTCCATTTTCAGGTTTACCAGAGAGAGGAAAGGCCTTAAGTCACAGCGAGGAGCTCTTAGAAAAGAACGCTTAGAAGGGAAAAGAGAGAGAAGACAGCCTTACAGCCTCGTCAGGTCAGCTTTGAGCGGGAGAGGAAGACTGCTGGCTGAGTGCCTCCCCGTTTTTCACAAACTCTCACAGCTGGGGGACTTCAGGCCCTGCCTCCCTTATCGTCCAGAAAGGACCAGCACGGCCTCAGGGGGCTCAACTCCAACACGGGAAGATGCCCACAAAACCCTTACCTGGGGAGGGGGTGAGCTGCAAGCTCTGTGAACAGCTCTGTGCCATTTCCGTGGGGGAAGGAGACCACACGTAGAGAAAGCTTAGTTCTGGGCCGTGGGACTGCGGAGGCTTCTCCTTGCTGCCTAACACCCTTCCACGCTGTTGGAATGATGCTCTGAAATGAGCTCATCGCCAGCCAAAGTTGTGCCATTCACAGTCCACCATGCGCCTCGTCTGCGTCCCCCCAGTGTTCCAACTCCTCCCCTCTAGGAAGAAAGCCCTCTTAGATGACCCTTCTGAATGTGCTGTGGGAAGTCACTGGCCAAGTGGGAAGGACGGGTTGAAATCGGGCAAACCTGGGTTCACACGCTAGCCCCAATCTACCCCGTACTGGCTAGGTGACTTTGGGCAACTGACTTCACCTCTCTGAGCCAGTTTCACCATCAATAAGGTGGGGATACATCTCTCACTCATGCGGCTGCTGTGAGGATGAAATAGAACAGACTAACTGATGCGCCTCAAACCCTACCTGGGGCTTAGAAGGAGCTCAGTATCAGCTCTTCTTCCCTCCTCCGTGGCCAAAGTCCCCAGAGCAGGGTGCACACCTTTCTGTCTGTCCAGCAGGCGGCTGCATTACAGCCCCACTGTGTGACAGTGGGCCAAGAGCCACAGGTGGCCACTAAGCACCTGTGATGTGACCAGCCTCACCTGAGGTATGCTGCAAGTGTGAAATACACACCAGACTGTGTACCGAAAAAAGGGTAAACTGTCGCTAATGTTTTATATTGATTACACATTAAAAAAGGAGCCCTCGTGGTGCAATGGTTTAAGTGCTTGGCTGCTAACCAAAAGGTTGGTGGTTCGAACCCACCACCGGCTCCCCAGGAGAAAAGACCTGGCGATCTGCTCCCGTAAAGATTACAGCCAAACCTTAGAGGGCAATGAGCTTATGTTAAAGGGAGAGGAACAACTCAGAAGTGGAGGGTGACAATGGACGCACAACTCGGAGAATGTGATTAATGTCACGGAACTGTACACGTAGAAACGTTTGAACTGGTGTATGTTTTGCTGCGTATATTCTCAACAACAACAGAAAAACGATCGCTGCCAAGAAAGCCCTATGGGGCAGTTCTACTCTGTCACACGGGGTCGCTGTAAGTTGGAATTGACTCGACAGTGCCCAACAACATACACTGAAATCATAATAATTGGATGTAATGATTAAATAAAATGAGTGTGTTAATTGATTTCCCCAGGGCTACTCGAAAACAAAACGCATCGGCAGCTCGCACTCTGTTTCTAGCGGACAGCACTCAGAGCTGGAGTCACATCACTGCCTGAGCACAGCTGGGACATACTCCCCACTTGTGGCTGTGAAATTTAGTCTATTACATTCAGGGAAGAGGTACTTTCCCCCAGTATTTCATAAACATCACTGAAGGTAACCAAGAGGGTAGAAGCATTAGACCACAATTAAGCCTACCAAACCAAACCCATTGCCGTTGAGTAGATTCCGACTCATGGTGACTCTACAGGACAGAGCGGAACTGCCTCGTAGGGTTTCCAAGCAGTGGCTTGTGGATTCAAACTGCCGACCTTTTGGTTAGCAGACACAGCTCTTAACCACTGTGCCACCAGGCTTTCCGATTAAGCCTACAGCATGGGCTAATCATCTACTTAGAAAAGCGGCTTCTTCCTTTTTCCCAGCTATTCCCCAGTCTTCTCTAGAAAAGTGCTTTTTAAACTTGTCCAAGCCCCACAGTAAGAAATGTGTCTTATGTCACAACCCAATCGTCCATACACAAAATATCAGAAACAATACTATCATGTGAAACACGCTTCTATCTTCGGTTGGTTGACGTTTTAACAGTGGTTGGAACGCACTAGATGGATTTCACAGCCCATCCAACACACGGAGTCCTGTAGACAAAAAACACTACTTCTCTAGAGGCTGAAAGAGACAGCCACTCTTGTGAGTTCTGTATGAACCCCCAAATATTCCAACAGACCCCCTAAATCCCACTCACGTCCTCCTCCGAGCAGTGGCCCTGAACTGTGTCCCCCTGAGCCTCCCGGCACCATTGTCAAAGGCCTCCTGCAGGTACTGGCACCTCTGTAAGCTGCTGAGCTGAGAATTCAGGAGAAATTTAGGCTAGCAGCAAATTAACTCTATTTAGAGTAAAAACTACTTTGAAACCCAGCACGAACTCTACTGATACATCTCCTACTCTAGAGAAAAGGACATCATGCTTAAAGGATATCATTCCAAGTTTACCAGAAATATTTCTAGCCCATGAAGACAAGACAATCCCTTTAAGAAATTAATTTTCTGAGGTTCTAGGAGACACATATTCATTCTAAAACAACTTGTGAAAATTTGGGGCAACAGTCCACTTTTTAAAATAGCTATTCCATGGGGGAGGATCAGTAATTGGTCTTTGATTTTAACACTACAGAAACTGGTTTAATCAGATCATCAACAAGTCTCTTTATCCAAGTAGAGCTAAGACTAAATTCAAGATCCTCATAACGAGGCTGATGAAGAACCATCACGTAGAACAGTTTCTATCTCAAGACTACCGTGTGCCCTGAGAGCCCAACTGGGATCACGCTAAACTGGAAAGGCTCTGTGGTTGCTTTCCTTTCAGAATCTAAGCACCAACAATTCTGGATTAGTATCCACATGTGACAGCTTTTCTAGAGGGCCACACTCTAGTTTCTATATGGTAAATCCAAGTACCCCTTGTAAGCCTCCCTTCCAAGATACTAGTATTAAAAAAATAGCAAAAGACATAAATCTACAACATCAAAGAGCACGGGAGAGGGGTCATCAGAAGAGATTTCAACAGATTTCCAGAGAGGAAGTGCTGATACTTCTAGAATGTAAACTCCACAGGGCAGGGACCTTGCAATGCCTTGTCAACGATGATGTCTGTGGTGGCACAGTGGTTAAGAGCTTGGCTGCTAATCAAAAGGTCAGCAGTTCAAATCCACCAGCAGCTCCTTGGAAACCCTATGGGGCAGTTCTACTCTGTCCTATAGGGTCGCCAAGAGTTAAAATGGACTCTGCGGCACCGGGTTTTAGCAAGGTGCCTAGTACATAAAAGATTCTGAATATGTATTTATTATCAGGTAAAAACAAAAGAATGGAACTGACTTTCTGGTGAGACAGCCCAGGGCAAAGCTCTCTATATTCTAACATTTGACCAGTTGCCATCGAGTCAACCCTAACTCATGGCAACCTCACGTGTGTCAGAATAGCCCTGTGCTCCGCAGGGTTTTCAATGGCTGATTTTTTTAGAAGTAAATTGGCACCTTCCTTCCAAGGTGCCTCTGGGTGGACCTGAACCTCCAACCTTTCAGTTAATAGTCAAACATGTTAACCCTTTATACACCCCAGGGGCTCTCCATTCTAACATTTAGGAGACCTAATATTACCCTATAGCAAAGTAGGCTCTTGGCCTCTCACCCAGAGCAAAGCCTTACTTACTATTAAGCCCCACCGCACACACAGGGCTTCTACTTCACCTAGCTACTGCTTCTTCCTTACACTTACAGAGATAACCTAGGATCATCGGCTACTAGAGGGAAACCTATAGCATAAATGAGAAAGAGCAAGACAGGAAACAGAAAAACCAACCCTGGAGCAAACAGGGATAATTACGGAAACAAAAGAAAAGAACAGGACTTTCACTAAAACACAATAAACCATTTAAAAAAGAAAACAAGAACAGGAAACTCTGAAAAAGGAACAATCAGAGAAGAAGAATAAGCTCTTGGAATTAAACAGCCGCTTCACCTCCCGAAATAAGGAAAAAAGTTAGGGCACTCTTGCAGAACAAAGAACAAAATGACTTGAAAATGAAACTATAAGCACAATTGAAAGTGTCCATCAACTCATTCAGGCTACAATTTTTTTTTTTTTTAATCCTACAGAGAAACGTAATAGTAAAAATTCAGAAGCCAAGATTAAAGAAGATCCTAAACCTCTACAGGGTGGAGAGGGGGGGTCCGACCACCAACAAAGGAAGCAGCAGCTGCCAGTGTCGCGAGGGGTAACAGTGGTATTGGAAGACAGTGGAAAGGGGCTTTCAAAGTTCCAAATGACAATCATCTGGGCCGTAGAATTCTCAGACACATGGGAGAGCAAAACAGAATCACTTCAGACACAGAAGGACTAAGTTCATCTTCCACGCGCTTTCTCCCGAGAAGTCACTTCAAGAAGAGGAAGATGTGGCTACAGGAACAAGGGAACCGACTCAGGGGCCTAAGGGTAACCAACACCCGGCTTACACCCACTCACACGGGATGGACAGGATGGACGTGAGACCTGATGGGGGCACGAAGCCGTCAAAAAAAATAAAATGGATTTCAAACAAGGGAACGAATGAGAAAGTGGCTTAGAAATATCTGTAATATGAGAAGGTGGTATTCAGCCTCTTCCCAACAAGGTTAAAAGGCAATTGGAAACAGGAAAAACAAAAACCAAAGGAAATCAACATATAAATGAGGAAAGCCACACTGTGGCAAGATTTTGAGCAGTCTCCACTTGACCTTGACGCTAGGCACCGCTTCCTC